ATGGGTGGCGCCTCGCTAAGCACCCGGCAACCCAGGCGCGAGGCAGACCGCGGCCATTAGGAGGTCGCTTGGCGAGATGGCCTGCCAGTCCTGCTCGTGGATGTGGCCCAGGGCTCACTGAGCAGGCTCCGGCAGGAAGGGGCGCAGGAAGGTGGGAGCCACGGTGCTCAGAGGATGGAAGCCCAGGCTCAGAAGTACACAGGGCCAAAATCTGTTTTCCAGAGAACAGGGATGGCCAAAGATGGTGTGGCTTGGTTCACAGCTGCAGGTACYTCTGTGGTCCCTGGTTAAGACCATCAGGGACCCCAGGAATGACCCCTCTGGCAGGCACTGTGAGTACCCAGCTCCCCAGACCAAGGGCAACCCAGAGCCACTGTGGTCTTTTTTTGCCCTGGGTTCCTTAGCTGAGGCCTGAGGGTCACTTGGAAAAAGGGTCAGAGGAGGCACTCAAACAAGGTCTCTAGAGCTGCCCTTTGTTTGGAGAGTGTAGAGAGCAAATCCTGATGTGACCTAGGCCACAGACACAATCCTAATGCCCCAAGGTCACTGGTTCCACATTTTCTCCCCTCCGTGTGTGTAGCTTCCTCAGGTCTGACCTGCACAGGGGAAAACAGAGTTCTGGTGGGAGATGACATGACCAGTCCCTGGAGGCTCTCCACTGTGCAGAGCCAGGGTACGATGGGCCTCAGAGAAGGAAGCTGAATGAGTGMCTGGCAAGACACATAGGAGGGCAGGGTGGGCCCAGGCAGGGCCCAGGTGCTGGAGCAGGGGCTGCTCCAGGAAGCCAGCCTCCTTGCCAATGGGGCCCTGTCCCCTGCAACACCTCCACCCAGCAGTGCCCGAGGTGCACAAGGCTACATGCCCAGCTGTGGCACAACTTGGCTTCATCTGGGGGGCGCGCCTCCCACTGGCCTTTCCTGTGGGAGGTCCTCATGCTCTGGATGCRCAGCCAACGTCCACCAGATCCCTCCGGGTGGGCCTGGGCTGGAACCCCAYGGAGCAGTCAGGAGAGGCTGCTGCATTCTGCATCCAGCCATCACCGCTAGCAGAGCCCATGGGGTGTGGGAAGGCGGGTGTTCCTCTATCCTGGCCAGTGAAGGCCTGTGCCAGGGAGACCCTTCTCGTGACACCAGATGCCTCCCCTGGAAGCCCCCCACCTGGGGCCTCAGCTGTCACCTGGCTATTGGCCCTGGGGGCCTGTGATCCTGGTGGAGAGCAGGGGCTTCATGTCAAGGCCCACCCCACCTGTTTCCCGGCAGAGAGGATGAGCCCCCCTCCACCTTGAAGCTCTCAGTGCTGAGATCAGGTGGCTCCTCCCCCATCCCCAATCTGCTAAGAAGCCATGTGACAGTGGCCACCTCCCCCTGCACTCCAGGACACACAGGGCTCCCACCCTRCCGCTTCCTGTGGCTCTAGAGCACTGACCTGCTAAACTGCTAACTGATTTACTTACTGTAGCCACTGCCTGTTGAGCCCCACTGACTATAAACTCTAAGGAGAGGACTTTATGACCCTGTCCCCAGTGCCTAGGACATGGCAGGGGAGCCATCAAAATGGTGGGGTGGGGGAGAAAGAGCCATCCGGGGGCCTACTCCACAGCCCTCTGGGAGGGAAACATGTGGACACACTGCAGAGGGGGTCCCTGTGGGATCCTTCTGCCCAGGAGACCGCGTGTGGCATTTGGTTTGAACAGGCCACAACATGGACTCCTACCCAGAGGGTCACCAAGTCCACAGCCATCTTCGTAAAAACCTGAGCTGGTCTCTTGATCTTTGCTGAGTGGCTTCTGATGGCCCAGAGGTCTGGGGAGCCTTGCAGCACCAGGCTCCGGGGGCCGTCCTGGTCCCCCCGCCCTGCAGCAGCACATGCCAGTTTCTCTTAAGAATGTCTTGGAGAAGGCAGCACTAGGCCTTGGCCTTTGAGGTTCCATGTGACCAAGCAGAAAGTGTCGTGAAGCGCCAGTGAGAGTGGGTGGAGGTGAGTGTGTGCGTAGCAGTGGGGGCTGCCTGCCAGGAGCAGGTCCCACAGACACATTGGGATCCCACAGACGCAAGTGGCAGACTGGGTGTTCTGCCATGGGCATCTGGCAGATACCGTCTTGAAAATGGGCCTGTCCCCCAAGGGAGTCAACTGGCAGCATTTACCAGTGACGAAATCTAAACTTTCATGCAAAAATCAGAAATCTGAAAAACTTGTCCCCACCAGGAGCTTGGAACTTCCCTACTTGCAGGCTTCTCTGCGGGGACCCATGGTGACATCAGCAAACGTGATTGATGCTGCTGGGTGAATAGTGTTGGTGTCAGGAAGATGCCCGTCGCAGTGAGTCACAAAGCCACAGTGGCAGTCACTGAAGGGCAGGTGGCAGGCAGATCATAAGGACGTAGAAGGCAGGTGGTGGCGGTGGTTGCAGAGGCCTCAGCTGCATGTGAAGAACCACACTCCCGAGTTCCATCTCAGCCTCTGTGCCCAGTTCTGTCTTCTCCGGTTCTTTCCCTGGACACTGGTTTCTGAGTCACTCCAGACACAGCCCAACAGTGCCCACAGCAGGTGGTGCAGGTGGCCCAGGTGGCTTCCCTGAAGAGCAGTGCCACTCTCTCCTCTCACCAAAACCTTCTTGTTTGGGAAAATATATTTTTCACAGAATTGTTACCAGTGTAACATCATGGTTCATTGTTATCTTGAAATGAATAAATGTCTTTCAAATATCTAGGCTAATTTCTAATAAAGTCTACTAACAGGCATCMACCTTGGTAGTTGGAACCCCCAGGCAAAGTCCTTTGGTGTCTCTGATCATTTTTCAAGTTGCGAGGGGTACAGGTTGGAGTCAGGCAGCGGATTCAGGAGTGGAGCTGCTGGGCGGAGACTGCCACGGGCTCCCACTTCTTGTTCCTCCCAGTCCTCCACATGCCCAGGCCCAGCCAAGCTCTGAGCAGGCCGTGGCTCCTCGGGTCTCAGTTTGCAGGTCTGCACTCCTCAGGAGGCCGAGCATGTCTTCACACAGAGCTTGTTCTCACACAGAGCTTGTTCTCTAACCTCGGGCCCCCTTCTTTTTTCATATGAATTTAAACATAATTTCACCCATTTCACAACAACAGTGTGGTTGAGCATGCAGCTGGAATTGCATCAGTGACATGATGCTGTGTGCAGAGCTGGGCCCTGGGTAGCCACACAGTCCTGTGTGCTGCTGGTCAGGCTCACTCCCAGGTTTCTCCTGCTTTGAGTCACAACTCCGAATGGAACATATCTTCTCCTTTTCAATAGGCTTCAGCTGGTTTAAAGAGCTTTTGATCTTTTGTATTTTTAGTTTTCTGGGTCTACAAAAATATCATATGAAAATAAAGGTAATTTTCACTTCATTCCATCTCTCATTCTGCTTATTTTGTTTACTTATCTTCATGCATTTGCTGTAAATGTCACAGCAACATAAATAACAAAGGTGGGAGTGAGGATGTTTGCCGAGTTCCTGATTTGAGTTTCAGTGCCGACATGCTGGGATGCTGGATCTTATTAAACATTGCAGCATTCRCTGACAGACTTCTCCTCAGTGGACCAACAACCAAAGAAGACTGAGAAGTGTCACAGGCACACTGTGGAAGGCGCAGCTCTGGGTGCAGGACAGTCAAGTCCTACAAGGACTTCAAGGACTCTACTCCAGCTTGGGAAGGGGGCAGCACCTGGTGCCCCAGACTCTGCTCAGACAGCAGAAGAAGGATGCAGAGACTCCTTCTGAACATAAGCTCAAGGATGTCAATCTAGTACTGGAACCAGCCCTGCAGGGATGGAAGCAGCAGTGTGTGGTGGCCACGCGGAGGAGTCTCAGGTATAACAGAGAAGTTTGATCAGCCACCTCTTGCAGGAGCTTGGCCACCCTGTAGGGCCACAGGAGATCGGGGTGTGGTCTCAGCACCCTCCCTGGCTCTGTTCCCTCTTGAAGGCTTGAAGCTGCTCTTCCTCTAGTGAGAATCAGGAACCATGGCCAGTCCATGGGAGCTGCTGGCCTGCGTCAGTGGTCAGCAGCTGGAGGGCAAGCAGGTATACATGGGCAGGTCACTGGGTGTCCATGGGTAAGTCCCCAGCTCCGAGGGCTACATAARCACTGAGCATGTCTATTTCATGAATTCTTAGAGTTGTGTCTTGCAGGCTCCCAAGTTCAGGTCTCCAACAGACTTCTCCAATCTCCTGTCCTCTAGAGCCCCCTCTCTGCTTCCCAGGAAATAGTTGGAGCTGCTTGTGCTGCATGAGCCAACTGCATGCACCACTCCCTGGCTAGAGAGGCAGCGGTACCACATTCGCAGCTGGAAAATGACTCTGATGGGGATATTTACACTACAGATCATCAGCAAGTGCTGCCCTGCCCCAGGACAGGGCTGGCGGGGTGCTCCCTGAGTCCACAGCAAAGGGGCCCAGGAAACTGCTCATCTACTCAGCACCCATGCCACCTCCCCCAGTTGGCCTGGGCTGACCTCTGTACCGCCTGACCACCGGCTGGTCCCACACTCCCTTGCCTGGCTGACTTCCAGGTTCAGGGAGGGTCARGAAAGCGGGTGGTCTCACACCAGAATGACAGTGGCAGAGCCTGGCAGAGCCCGCCTCCACTCCTATCCCCAGCAATCTGCTCACCAGCAACCAGAAAGGCCTTCTTCTTGGTACTGAAAGTTGAACCCAGGGGCACTCTAACTCTGAGCTACATCTGAGCCCTTTTTATTTTGAGACAAGGTCTCACCAATTGCTGAGATTGTCCTCAAACTTGTGATACTGCTGCCTCAGATTCCCAATTTGCTGGGATCACTGGCATGTGTTACTGCACCCAGCCAAAGAGCACTTTTCCAAACCACAAGGTAAATCCTGTCACTTGCCTGCTGACCCACCACACAGAACCCTGTCCCGTCTGGGAAGGACCAGGAAGCAATCTGCCTAGTTCTAGGGGATAAATCAAACAGGCCTGGTCCCAGACTCCCATGCAGCCATGATGACCAAAGCCAAATCCTAGTAAATGACACAGGTTAATTCAGCCAAGGGTTTCTAGAAAGAACTGCTCAACTGGTGCAAGGCCAGAGGCAGTGCAGCAAGCTGGCCACTGAGGCTGCCTTGGCCCCAAGCCCCCCCGCACTGCAGAGGTCAGATCCACAGCTGTAGCAGCTGACAACTCAGAATGCACTTGAAAAACACCAGCAGTGCCCCGGCAGGCACACAACCAAGTGGCCCAGCTGCAGGTGGCCTGCCTCTGTCTGCCCGGGGCTTGCTCTGGCCACCCCCCACCTCTGGGTTCTTGCACTGGCTCTTTGCTGCTCGGACTGTCCTCCAGTACCAGGTCCTGGCTCCTCACCTGGCCGACCTCCCCTGCAGCACTGACCAGTCTGCAGCTGCTCCTCTGTTGACTGCAGTGGGAGTGTCTTACCAGGCGACCTCCAGGGTCCAGAAAGCAGTAAGGCAGGCCTGCAAGCAGCCTGTTCCTCRTATTGGTGTTGTTGCTAAGGAGGTGGCTGTGACATCTGGCCACCGAAGGCAGCGCAGCCCTGTGCATCTGCCTTGGGGTCAGAGATACCTCAGGGCAGATGCAGCAGGTCCAGGAGAGCGCGCATGGGCACCAGCCCACCCTGACCTATCTCCACTTGCTTTCCTTTGCAGGACAGATCAACCTGGTGTGGGCCTTCCAAGCCAGAGAAAGTGAGCTCTGCTTCCAGGCAATAGTGAAAAGTACACATTTAATATCAAAAGCCATTTCAGGTATCATCGATAAGACTACCGTGGAGGGTGGGTTCTAGACACTCTTACTAGGAGTGACCTGAGAGTCCCTGGTCTTGTCCAAGGAAGGACATTAATGCTGGAGATAGATAGGGGTCAAATGGTCGCCCAGGGCCCATGGGGTCCTCATCAGGGACATCCCTACCAGGGGCAGCCCCTGGAGGCCAAGTGGAAGCCTGTCCCCTCCGCAGGACCCTGCTGCCYGTCTGCGGCCTGGCGGTTGCAAGCGGCCTAGCCACTGGACTTGGCGATGATCTTCTCCAGCAGGCTCATCATGCGCTCCTGCAGCTGTAGGCTCTGCACCTGCAGGATGTTCTGCTGGTCCAGCACGCGCCGCACCTCACGGCAGGTCTCCTCCATGGCACGGCTCAGCCTGCGTTGCTCCTCCAACATGGCCTCCAGCAGCCGCAGCTTCTTCTTCTGCAGGTGGCAGCTCTGCACCTTGCGYTTCTTCACTGGCCGCTCCTCTGACCTGCAAGGAGTGCCGCTGTGGGAGGCTGGCCAGAGACCCCTGCCCACCCTGAAGGACAAGTAGGGTCTCCCAGGCCCTAGGAGCAGAGCCCCTGCTCAGGCCCCCAGGCCCACACATGTGAGGAGGGGCTGGAGCCCACCCACCACGACAGTGGGTTGGTAATGGGGTCAGAGGCACCCGGGCCTGGAAACCAGCAGGCAACCCATGATGGTCCACAGCCGAGGTCTGGGGAAGGTGAGTGTTCTGGGCTGTGAAGGGCACACGGCCATGAGAGCACCAAGCCCTCTGAGCTAGGCAGGCAGGAGGCCCAGCCCCAGGGAGAGGTGGAGGCTGGGTGTGTGGGGGTGCTGAGAAGTATGTGGCCTCCGTGCTCCTATAGGGAAGCTGGACACTATCAGGCCCAGCTGGCGGTGCACAGGTGGGAAACTGGTCCTAGAAGGAAGGGCCTGAGGCTGGAGACCCCTCCCATTCCCAGCAGCATGGAGAGGGGACCAGCGTGCTGAGGGAGACAGGAGGACACACAGCTGCAGAGGGTAGAGGCAGCCCCAGGCAGTCTAGCCTGTGGCTGTCCCACGGTGCTCTGTTGTCAGGGTGGCGGGCATTGCTGGTTAACAGCCTCGCTGGAGAGCAAGGACTGCCAAGCCCCACAGACCCCAAGGCCCTGCCCTGGTGCCTACATGTCCCCAGCCTGTATACTGTGTTTTAAGCAGAGCGGGTGACCAGCCAGCCTTGGGGATGGGAGAGTGGGGCCCCATCCCACCCGGCGTGRTGCCCCGGGCAGCCGAGTCTGGGARCTAGGCTCAATAATCCATGGGAACAATTGGCCATAAATCTCAGGCCTCGTGCTAATTGGGTCTGGCTGCAGAAAGGCGTTTTTGTCTGGGATCTTCAATGAGATGTTCCCTCCAGGGAGGGCACTGGGTGAACTGAGTAGAGCGCCCAGCACTGGGGATGCTGGCCGAAGGGACCCTCCTCAGAGATGACTTCCTTGCCCTATCTGCCATCAGACAGACTTGATGAGCAGGGTACAGGGAGAGACTGACTCAAGGCCACATCTTCCTACTCTCATCAACTGATCAGCTTCTACTATACMGTGGAAGCCTGTCCTAAATGTCCCCTTCTCATAAGTGGCTGCTCTGGGCTCCCTGGCCTGTCCTCCACAGGGCACCTCTCCTGGACACAGCCTGGCTGCCAGTGTCTGTGAGCACCCTGCGGGCATGGTCTCGTGGCCGACACCTTCCTGTGTTAAGTGCTGGTGCGGAGGGGGCAGGGCCCRCCTACCGCCCTGGAGGCTCAGCCCTACCTTCTCAGGTGCCTGCAGGGGCAAGGGTGGGGACCAGGGTGGGCAGGGCGAGCACAGTGGGGCCAGCTTGTCCTCTCCCATGCTCCTGGCAGCCCTCTGAGGAAAACATGGACTGATCCCCATTTTACAGGGGGAGGCTGAGGCCAGAGAGGTCAAGGAACTTGCATCAGCTCCAGTGACGGAGCCGGGCGCGGAGCCGCCTGCCTGCCGACACTACAGCCCTGCTGGCCGGGGCTGGCCTGGCCTGGCCTGGCCTGGAGGCAGGCACACACTGTGACTTTGGCTGAGGATACCACACCAGGAGAGCGGGCGCCCTCGCCACTCCCAGCCCCTTGCTCTGCCCAGCTGGCCTCCTGGTGCTGCCTGGGGGTGGGCAGAGGCGGGGCGGCGAGGCACCTGGTCAGAGAAGGAAGAGGGGACACACTACCTGAACTTAAGGGACAGTAAGCTGGAGGAGCTGTCGGAGCCATCGTCCTCGAAGCGGCCTTCGTAGGAGCACTGGGTATACGGTAAGTACAGAGGGGTGGACTTAGCGGACGGCGACAGAGACGCCTCGGTCTGGGACGTGGAGGGCCCCGGCTGCTGGCCGTCTGGTAGTTTGCCCTCACAGGACTCAGGGACTTTGGCCAGAATCCTATCAATGGCTAGGTAATAGGGCCAGTCCGGCGGGACGGACTCGCTATCTGTCATGCATTTTAATTTCCTGCAACGAGAGACAAGAGCCAAGGTGAGAAGCAGCTGGTCCCAGCCAGCCCGCCTGGTCCCTGGCGGGGGCACAGGKCTCCAGGACCCCAGGGAGAGCCATGCTGGGTCAGGCAGGAGCCACTCTTGACCAGTGCGGTCCTCCCCAGAAAAATCAGTCAGGCCCCAGGATGCAGGTGATACTGGACTAGGAAGAAGYGAGCTTTGGGACCTGCTTTAGATGTGAAGAGGGAAGCACACACCCTTCCATGAGCAAGGGCATCCACAGAGGCTGGGAACTTGGGCTAGGTCCTGTTTCTCTTTGCTTTTCTGGAGTTTATAATGGCAATGAACCCACAGTACTTCTTATATGCTTTAGTCAGAAATAATAAAATATTGTAATAAGCTGTATAGTTCAAATACAGTCATAAGGTTTCATAGCGCCACAGTTTTCTGACCTCAGGGAGAGAGGACCATGGGAGCACAGGMATCCACAGCTTTGAGTCCATATCCTGTCTCCACCATTGCTATGTGAACTTGGACAGGTTCATTAACCTCTCTGAGCCTCCAGTTTTGCATCAGTAAAATGGGGATAAAGGAGTAAGCCCCTCAAGGCTGAAGGGAGGATTTAAGAAAGCCATGCCTGGTGMCTGGCACACAGGACTCTAGCACCACTCTTGCTGAACCTAGCAGGAGGTCATGCTGCGCCCTAAGCCCAGGCTGCTGCCTGAACAGCAGCCTGGGTCCAGCTCTGGAATCTGCAGTCTGACCTGAGGCAGTGGGGCAGGGCTCCTGGGCTGAGGGTCTTCACAGTGAGGCTCTGATCACCTGAGAGGCCCTGCAAGCCCCTGGATGGCAGCCTTCTGCTGGGAGGTGAGGGCTGGGAGATGGGGCCTCAGGGCAGCTGGGCAGCTCTGGCCAGGCCAAGGAAGTTGCCACAGGGTGGAGTGGGTGGGGGAAGCTCTGCCCACCAGGTCCAGCACCTCCCAAGGCCCAGGGTTCCCCACGTGTTTGCTAACCTCATCTGACCCTCGAGCCTGGTGTCACAAGTGCCCTCCCTGAAGCCAGGGCCCACACCTGCAGAGGGGCATGCCTCCGTTTCCCACACGAGGCTGTCCGCCAGGGTGTGGCCTCTGCTGACGCTGGGCACTGGAGATGATGATCTGGCCGAATGAGTCACACCCAACAAATGGGCACAGAGCTGTAGCAGGAGGCTCCCCAAGGCCCAGGCTCCCTCCACCAAGTGGAATAGTCTCTGTGGAAAGCCAGGGATAGATCACAGGAAGGCCAGGCTGGCCTGTATTCCTGCCCCCAATCTACCCTGGGGGCATGGGGAAGACAAGGCTTACATCTGGTGCCCACACAGGCCTCTGCCCAGTCTCCTCCAGAGACCCCATTCTACTCCCCAGAGAAATGGGGAAAAGCCTGCCCTCAGCATGGGAGGTCCCAAATGGTATTCCGACAAATCATGCTCCACAAAACTCAGCCACCTTCTCCAGCTTCCTTAGCCTGACTACTTAATATGTAAAGAGCTCTTATTAAAAAAAAAGTCTCTGTTGTGGGGAGGCTGGGAGTGGGTAGATGAGATCTAGTCACCCAGCCAAAGCTTTGGCCAATTAAGGACTATTGTCAAGACCCTCTCCTGCTCTGGGCCTCAGTTTCCTCAGGAGCAGCCAAGGGAGAGGTGTGCATGTGCTTCTTAAACTATGAAGGCCGAGCATCCATAGCCCTGCACAGGGACTCCGAGGGAGGCTTTCAGGATAAATAATGAAGAGCCCAGCCAGACGCTGACTGGGGGAGGCCAGGGACATTGCTCCTGAAGAACTGAGTCAGAGGGAGTCTGGGGAGAGAGCCAGCATGGCCGCCCACCACCTTCAGAGTCCCTGTCTCACCAGGCATGTGAACAGGCACTGTGGGGTCCAGGAAGGCCAGGCAGGCCAGACTACAAGTTGCCGTCCCATGCCTGTCCCAGCAGTCACCAGACTTCCTCACATCCTGGGCCCAGGGCTCAGGTTTGACATCACCTGTGCTAGGTGACTCTGATGTCAAAGACCCCAAGCAGCTGCAGGACTGTGGTTTTGGCTCCCAGGCCTCGTGGGGGACCAGGTCAGAAACAGGCCTGGGAYAGGGACAGGCTCCAGACGGTCTCCTTCTGGGGCCATGAAAGCACAGCTGGAAACAGAGCCTCGTGGCCTTTGATCCATGACCCTAATGGCTCTTCCACAGCTCCCAGGGCAGCCAGGGGCCATGGGACAGGATGGGGCTCTCCTCCAGCCTTGGCGGAGGCATCTCCCCACCTGCAAGCGGGAGGTGGGACTCCTCTCTCGCATGCAGTGTGGCTAAGGTGCTCACAGGCCAACCCGCAGGGTGCCCTCTGTCTCCAGCACCCTGGCCAGCGGAGCTCACCTGCCTGCCATCCCCAGAACCTTGCGAGCCTCCTACTAGACAGCGCCCCTACCTGGGATACAGCAGGCTCTTGGGCAGCCCCAGGCTCAACCTGCAGAGACAGCTCCTGCTGTGACCTGTGCCCCTTGTTCTCACCTCCTCAAGCCCTGACCTTCACCCCATGCTGTGACTTTTACCCCACCTCCTCCTCACGCCCACCYATGACTCTCTAGATGGGCCAGGCCTCATGCACTGTGAGGTCTGTGGCATGGGGCCACAACTGCTCCCTCTTGGATGCCAGAGCCACCCCAGGCCTAGGAGCCATCTTTGGTCCCCACCTGCAGTCCCCTCTAAGGTCCCCTCCAACTACCGGCCAGGGACAGTCAGCCTGGGATGTGACAGTGGCAGAGATGGGGACCAGGCCTGGGGACTCCCAGTCAGGGAGTTCAGGGGTCAGGGCTGGGCTCGACTTCTTCTACAAGTGAAGCCCTGTCCATGAACTGGGCACTGTCTGGGCACTCTGGGGTTTTCCACATCAGATCCAAATGCCGTTCTTCCCACCCTGAGGCTAGCTCCGTGCTGGTCACACAGCAGGGGCTCGTTGATGCTGAAAGTCCCTGAGCATCAGGAGGGGACAGGCCCAGGAGCTGAGCCTCCTCACTCTGGCCTCCGTTTCCCTGCTGGGCTTGGGGGCTGTGGAAGGGTGGTTCAAGCCTGGCTGACAGCCTGTCGACACTGGCCAGGGTGAGAGGGGGTTGGTCAGGTGGGTGATGCCTGCACGAGGTGTCCACCTCTGAGGCATGGTGGGGCAGTGAGCAGGTCCAACGTGTGTCCCTGGAGCTGCGGCCCGGCACCAAGCCCAGACTCAGGAAGCTGAAAGCACTCCCAGCCCAGCCACCCTGAGACTTCCTGACCAGCTTTCTGCCCTTGCTGGGCCTCAGTTTTCCCGTTTCCCAATGGGAGGTTGCACAGGTGGTTTCTGAAGGCCATCTCTTCCCACAGGGCCCAAGTGACAGGTGGGCCCCCGGCCAGGCCACATGTCCTCCCACCCCGAGGAGCCCACCTGTACTGGAAGGTCATGTTGGTGATCTTGATCTTGATCTCCTCGCCCAGCCTGCGCTCGCCGGTCATCTCRAAGAGCTTGCTGGCCATCTTCTCGTACACTTTGGCGTTGCGCTTGGTCTGCTTCAGCTCCTCGAAGAACTCCTCCCAGACGAGCATGAGGCCGCGCATCTCCGCGTCCGTCCAGTTGCGGGCCCTCCGGTGCTTCTCCGTCTGGGGAGACACAAGGTAGCCGGGCACTTCGGCTGCTGCCATGCTGGAGGCACCTGCGGGGAGGAGGATGGCGCTCAGGTGGGGCCCCAGGCCCGTCCCACACACCATGGGCGGGAGGCACCGCAATCACTCGCTTGAGGCAGCTCCGCGCTCAAAATGGGGCCTACGTCTGACAGGCAGGAATTTAGTTAAAAGCTTTTAAACGGGAAACGTCATTTTGATGTCACGTTTCCATAGCAACAGAGCAACTGCATAAGCTACAACAACAGAAACCTTTTAACTGAAAGCACAGGAATCGGGGCCGTGCTGACGGGCCATCAATATTGTAGCAAGCCAGCGGCMGGGCCCAAACCCAGCGGCCAGGCGGCCAGCCCTGCCTGCTTCTCGCCTGGCCCTTGGGCCATGYGGAGAGGTGTTCCAGCCATGCTGGCCAAGCTACCAAAGGCAAGGTCCGGGCAGCAGCCCCCACCTCAGCCCCACCTGGCTCCTAGAGGCCAGGAGTCCAGGGAAGTCCAGGATGGGCCATGGGAAGACTGTCAAAATGGAGGCACGGTGGGGGAAGGAGAGGAGAGATAGGCAGACAGGGAGCCTGCGATCCCCGGTGCTGACTGACAAAGTGGCTGCTGGTGCTGGGGGTTCCTTGGCTGAGAGACCCTCACCCTTAGGAGGGCCCTGTCAGGTAGAAGTGAGGGTGGGTCCCTGGTCTTGAGGACCAGCACTTCTCAAGAGACCCTGCCTCTCCTGTCATCTGCTCCTTGCTTCTCTTGCTCCACCCACCAAACACCCTGGGCTTCAGGTCACGTGGGCACTGGGAACCCAGGCTGGTCAGAGCCAAGCCCTGCCCTTAGTGCAGGTCAGGGGCACACGGACACTGACTGACTGACCTTTAGCATAGGCTGGTTTGAGGGCAGCACTGGATAGCGAAGGCAAGTCCTGTACTGAGAGATGAGGAAGAGCCACTGGAAAAGCTGGCAACGTTCAGAGGACAATCACTGGAAAGAGCTGGGTGGGGCAAGAGCAGCAAGGCAGGGTGAGCCTGGAGCGTGTCAATGGGCAGGGAGACAGATGGTGCAGTGTGGGAAGGCAGGGCCAGCCCGGAGAGTGGGCTTCTGTCCCTGTGGGGCTGAGCGACTGAAACGCCAGGAGGAGTGAGCAGGCCCCTTAGCCTCAGGAGCCAGGAGGCAGGGGTGGTGGAGCTGGGGGTCTGCAGAGAGGATGTGTCACCTCAGGGTGCCGGTGGCTGACTCCATGGAGCTCAAGGCCCCTCTGCTGGACAGCCCACGGTGGACATGGTACCAGCCTGATTCGATGTCCACTGGCCCAGTGCACCCCTGCTGGTCTTGTCCGGCCCCTGTGCCAAGGCTGAAAGAGCWGCAGAACGCTGACCAGACAGGAGGGCTGAGCCTGGAGGAGGCACTGTCTGCACACAGGCCACCCCAGGAGGAGGGCAGCTGGGGTGCCTGACCCCACTGTCCTGCCCAGCATGGAGGCAGTACAGGATGCAGCCAGAAGGGAAGGGCCTGGGAGGGCAGCAGGGTGCCCAGGGAGCCYGAGAGCTCCTGTACTCCCTTCACAGACCTAAGCCACTACCTGGCCTAGGCATCAGCTCTGGGGCCCAGCTGACCCCCTTTCTCTCTGGGCCCTGGGTGTCATCTGGAGATCYAGGGACACTGTCTCTACCCGCTGGCTGTGCGGTGCTCCCCAGGGAGGTTCACAACTGCTGCACTCCTCCCATAGGGGCACCCATGAGAGACCTCTAAGCCCACTCTCTGCCACGTTCAGCCATACTGCTGGCCTGATGGCTTGCTGTTGCCCCTAGTATCCAGCTCCCAGAGCTCTCAGGAGCACTGGCAGAGGGCCCAGAGGCCCGCTCCTCCAGGCAGYGGCTCCTGCAGACTCAGGGTCTGTCCCTTCTGAGGGGGTCCACTCCACTGCCTTTCCCAGTCTTTCTCCAAGGGTGGAGGTGGGGGCAGAAACTGCAGTCCAGGCAGGCAGCTTTTGACTCCATTCCACTGACTTGCACGACCTTCCTTGACAACGTCCCTCAACCTGTCTCCTCATCTCTGTAGTGGGAAGGACAGGACCTGGCTGGATGACTCTCAGTCACCCAGAAGGCCCCTGGTACAGCCCCTCCAAKCCCCTGAGGACAAGGGGCCCTGCTGCCATCTCCCCGCCCCTTCTCTGAATCTCCTCAGAGCTTAGAACCTGGTGTGCTGTCCTGACTGAGGGACAGCTGCTGGCCAACAGGTGTCACTGCTGTGCTCAGAGCCCAGCAGCCAGACTGCTCCAGAGAGGCAGCTACATCCTCAGCTTGCCCAAGTCCCAGTGGGCAAGGGTGGCAGAGCCACCCTAGCAGGAGCTACCCTATAGCTAACCATACTCTAGGTGGCACCTTCAAGTGGTGAGGGTGGGCTTCACCTTCTCTTCTCAGACCTAGGGTGCATTGGAAACCTTGGATAGGGTGTTCTCTGGGGTTACTTCAGGAAGAAGCAACCTTGCCTGAACCCCCAAGGACAAGAATGAACTGGGCTGGTCAAGTCAGGTGGSCCAAGCCCCAGCTGTCCCTGCTAAGTGGCTCCATCTGTCTCCCGAGGGGAGGGGCTCCATACCTTGGCAGAGTTGCATGGCCCGCTGGGACCCTCAGTCACTGTGGGATCAGGAGTCAGAGGGCCTAGGGCTGGGCACCCAGCAGCACCTGCAGGGGAGAGGGTGCAGGTCAGGCCTCAGCTGGAGCACCCCTAGGAGGCCGAGGCACAGGGTGTGGGTCCACGMTGGTCCTGCTGTGCACAGGCAAGGCCCACCTCTCAGGTCTTCCTTCTACAGGAGGTGGCGRGGCCCAGCCCCCAGGCACATTTCATTAGCATCTAGGGTACAGGTGCTGCTTAGCCTGGTGGGCTGCAGGAAGCCAGACCCACCCAGAGGATCAGCAGGGCTTGTCCCAAGTGAAGCCCAGAGCAGGAAGTACATAACCCATGGGGAGAATCTGGAGGTTGAAGGATTTAGAACTTGGCAAAGGCCAGGAAGCACCAGGAGTGTGTGGGTGTGGTGGGGTACATGAATGTAGTCCCTGGGGGGCAGATGGAAGGGCCGAGGCCATGGGGCCTTGAGCACTTGAGCTCTAGGAAGGGAGGGAAGAGGTGAACCAACAGTGGCGGGTGGGAAGGGTCAGATCCCCCTCAGGTCTAGTGAGCCCCAGTAGCTCCTGGGGCCTGGCTGCCGATCCCAGGGTGCACGACACAGAGCCTGTGGGTCTGGCTCATGTCCTGGGCATTGCACTTTTTCCTCATGCCAACGAGGAACACAGACCCATAACTTTTAGCCCTCTTCTACACTCGACAGGCACCTGCCCTGAACCAACAGCTCCACCAGGTACCCAAGGGTCAAATGCCCRTCTCCTAGGTGGGACTGAGAGTCCTGTCTCTGCTAGGCTGTGACAGGAAGGGAAGAGCAGGCTGTGAGGCTGAAGGTCTTGCAGACWTCTGTCCACAGGCCCCTGGACCACGGACCATGCTGCTTACAGGCCAGCCTCGGGGCCCCCACCACTGTGCTGCCCAAGCGGGGTTCCCTGTCCCGGTTTGGCTGTCACACCATTCCAAGGCAGGACCCAGCTACCCTGGCCACTTGGCTCATCCACTGGGCAGGGTTAGTAAGTCTCCCTCTTTGGGAGACTACTTCAGAGAGCTTTCTGGAACAAAGCCAGCTACAGCTGCAAATGGGTGCCACTGGAGGCAGAGAGGGTAGTCCCCACGACTTCCAAGCCCTCAGAGCTCCCACAAGCAGATGGGCAGGGCACACTGTGGAGAGGGAGAGAGRGTGGCGGCAGGTTCTCCTCTGCTTAGGTGGTACACACATGGGGGCTCCTGCTCAGAGGCTCCACTGGTCTGGAAACACCAGCCATGCCAGGTATGCCAAGGACCGTCCTGTTTTCACCCAAACCATGGTGGTTCAGTGAGGAATAGGGTGCTAGTTTCCCTGAAATGAGAACTTAGCAAGTTTCCAAGGGTGAGGCCATCAGGGACCCTGGAGTTGTCACTGAGATTCAGGGCATTGAAGTGACTCCAACTAACACTCAGTGCAACTGAGGGAAGAAACAGACTGGGTGGGGCCATCCACCAGGCCATCTGGCCAACGCTCACTACCCTGTGCTGAGAAAGGGGATTCCGCCTAGAACAAGCAGGTGCCGCCTGGTCCTGAGCTGAAAGGTCCTTGTGGTCTCTCCTGGAAACAACTGCAGGGCCCTCTCTGCGGAGGAACGGGGGACGACGCCTGACAGCGAGCTGGAACCACACGGACCTTTGGTGAACACTAGTGCAACTAAACACCTTGCTCAGGGCAACCCACAACCCAAGATCACCACCACACTGACCACCAAGGCTCCAGAGGAGGTTCCAGCCAAGAAGGAAAGAGTCCCTGTAGAGCTAAGCAGAGACGTCCTGGGGAGGAGGTATTTCAAATGGGAAGGACTTACAAGCTAGAAAGGTTGGGAGGGGCACTGCAGACATGGTGGCCAAGCCAGGCCAGGGGAGAACAGCTGTGGTGGGGGACAGCAGGGTGCAGCTGGGACAGGACATCAGTGACCAAGGGGGCAAAAGGGTCAGTGAGGCCATGAGGGGACACCAAAGCCAAGGTTGTGTGAGGACACAGATCTTGCCACCCCTCTAGTGCMCTGAAGCCAAACGTGGAGCAGAAACAGGGACACACCTGCGGTTCCTGCCCAACAAGCTCACGGTCCTACCCACTGCCAGAGCTTTAGCAGTCCACGTCTGCTAGGCAGGGAGCCGGCTGCACCATGGCCTGCGGGTTCCCTGTCGGAGGCACCCATCACATGTGGACCTGGCTCCACAGTGTCTGCTGACTACTGGGAGGCTGTCAGCACTGACCCCTGGAGAAGAGAGGGACAGTTTCCTCAACCCTGGAAAGCAAGTTCTCAATGAGCAAAGCAGGCCTCACACAGCAAATGTGAATGGTTTCATTGTTCCTTTAATTGGATATACAATTTTTGCAGCAGTTTAAAAAATGTAAATATACATCTCACATCAGTCCTTCCTCTCGGCAGTGCACAGTCAGGTCTGGGCTGGGCTCCGGGACTGGCCCATCACTGCCCTGTTGGCCCAGCACAGCCCACAACGTGAACAGCAGGCCTGATGGAGGCCCTAGACGGGAGACAAACCATTGCAGGCAGGTCCCTCCATCCAGCCTGGGGCAGAGGGAAGGGGCTCGCTGGACGGCATTAAAGCACGACAGGCACAAGGGGAAGATGGCCCCGAACCTTCCGCGTCGCGTTCAGTTGTCACATGGCTCTCTGAGCAAGTCCTTCCTTCCCGGCAGCTCCAGGCCCAGTGTGGGACAGTCCTCTCTCACCTGTGCCAGCCCGCACCGCCCACCCGGCCTCAGCAACTTGAGGTCTTTTCTTTGCCCAGAGGGCAGATCTGAGTTCATCCAGGTTGGTGGCCATGGTCCCAGGCACCCAGCACGGAGGGAGGGAGGGACGAAGCCCAAGCGAGGATGCCATTTGATAGGAAGGAGGCTCACAGCTAACAAGAGGAAATGAGTTCCACCCCCACAATCCCACCCGTGAGCTCACTCACTCCAGATCCCCTCACTGCGGGTGGGGGGCGCTCGGCCTCCTGGGCTACGGCTGGCGTGAACTAACTTATTGCTGAGACCCACCAGCCGAGCTCCAGGCAGGGCAGCCCCAGATCACCTGGAGGAGCTCCCCGATGGCCAAGGGGCCCTTCAGGGGAGGAGCCTTCCCTGAGGCTATATTCCGCATCTGGAGGTGTTTCCACTCCAGTCTTTCCTCCTGAAGGGCAAAGTGCAGGCCAAAAGGAGAGAACAATAAAGGGCCCTTGGCAGTTGGAAAGTCACCTCCGTATGGGGCCATCAGTGGAAGGGAGGCACATTTTTGGAGAAGAAAACATGCTTRAGTGCATTGCCAAATAATTCTACCCTGGTTTCATTAAAATCTTTCCTGATAGTACCAGCAGGAAAACAATAACCCACCCTCCCCTCAAAACCTTAACAATCAAAATGACACTTTCAACAACATTTGGAAAGCTGCAGACTAGGAGGGCGGCTTTCTGCAGTAGGGCTCCCCGAGGCC